CCTTGTTTCTGGTTGTCGTTTTTGTGTGATTGCCTAATTTGTGTGTTTGGATTATGTTGGTTTAAGCATTGGTTTGTTAGATTCCGGGTTAACAAAACCAAAGGAAACCAAGAGAACTATGGTTCATTTTGGTTCAAAAAACCTACCCATCTTTTTCACAACGATCGAGCAATCACAAAGTTGGAAATAGAGGACATACCTGGCTTTAAATCCCGATGAATGATCCCATGAGAGTGCAAACATTCCATTGCACGAGCAATGTCAAGTGCAAAACCAACTGCAACATGTGTATCCAAGCACCTCGGACGCAAGTTTAGCAGATATTTACGCAATGTCCCACCTAACAAAAGCTCAGTAACTATCACCATCACAGGTTCCTTACAGGCACCAATATACTGTTGGTACACAATAACACAGTTACCTCTGTTAGATATATACATAAGTCCATATTCCAAAATTCATAAGAGATGCATAACTGGCAACAAACACATAAAACTATTGCCTATTGGAATCAAAGCTAACCTTCGCCAAGTTTTTGTGTTGAACTCTAGACAACATAGCAACCTCTCGCTCAAAACGAGCCTCTCTCTTGGCAATTTCCTCTTGGGTGTCTCCTCTATGGACAATTTTAATAGCAACATTCTGATTTTTATACCTGAAGGCATAAATAGTGAGATAACTCAAACAGAACTAGATTCAAATTTCCAATCTGAATACCCTGGCACAATTCCTGGTGAAGATTTAAACTCTAGTTCATTCAAGAAAATGCATTTACCTAGTAGTGCCCATCAAGAACTGGGAGTTTTCGATATTAACACTTCAAATTTTCATATAAACTCCAACAACAATCGAAAACAGAACAAGAAACATCAAAATTCACAAAGAAAATCCTAAAAAGCATGACTTACTTTCCTTCGTACACTTTGGCATGTGCTCCCTCTCCAATTTTGGGTCCCACAAGAAGATGCTGAGGATCAATCAGCCACTTAACATCCAATCCAAACTCATCTACTGAATAAAAAAGATTCTCTGGTTCCATCTTTCTCTTTAAAGTGTTTAACCAACCATAGTACCCATCAACCAATTTTCACTTGGTAAACAAAGACACGAATTCACAATATAGAATGCATTGTAGAGCTCTGCTTACTGTTCTTCAAGCTGCATGGATAAGCTGACATGAAACAGAGGAATCTGAAAGTACATGCTTTGTACTCTGTTGAAGTGGTACCATGGCAATCTTCCCAACGCCACCACATCTCAAAAATCATGGCCCAAGGATCAAAACTCCCAGTTGAGGAGGCAAAAGTTTATAGCCCCACATGTTGTGGAGAGAGAGAGAGAGGCTCGACTTAAAGCTCAAAACCCAAGAAGTGTTGAGAAATTAACGAGGAGCAGAGCCAAATCCCCAAAAAGGGGAACAGGGGGGAGGGAATCAAACAAGAAGACTTTCAATTGAAGATCAAAATTTTCGATAAAATTCTCAAACCCAATTCGAAGTTATATTAAACTAGTGATGGGTCTGAGTTTATTTTAATCTTTTTAAGTACAGAACCTTACTCAGTCACTCTTGATCTACAGACAAAATCATTGAAGGGTTTCAGTCACTGTTTCATCAATCAGAAATTAAAATAAATAAACAAATGAGTAAATAAGGAGAGAGAGAGAGATATTTTATGAACATTGCAATAAATAGTGTGGGAGCCATATAAAGTAATCAGTTGCACATGGCAACTGATCTTGTCAACATGGGGATGTAGTGATGACAAAGCCCCGCTCAGTGAGAAATGCCTGGACAAGTACCTACCTACCCTACCTTTCTTGAAGTGCACCTCCATTAATTCAGCAAAACGCTATAAGTCTAGGAGTCTAGAGGTTTTAGCCCCCTAGTAAACATTTCATAAGTATAAACTCATGTAGATGATTTGCAGCATATTACTGTCACAGTCAAAGCAGAATACTCTGAAAGCTAACAATCACCATATGATATCAACAATAAAGAGGCGAAAAAACACAAAGCAAGACACTGTTTTTTTTTTTTTGGGTCATTAAGCCCTTATCACTGGGCATTTTCTCACCTCAACAAAGCGGGACAATTTTGGTGATTAGACTTTGATCAAAAGGAATGTGCTGATCTGGAGTGTAAAAGCTTCTTATTGTAAATAGCTGTTCTCACACACACACACACACACTCATGTTGGATAACAGAAAGCTAGATTAAGTCTCTGCAAAAGTTTATCCACGATCAATCACAGCAAAGAGGCTTTGGGTTGATGCAATGGGTTTGCATCCTAAATTACACCATCCAAATTTCCGAAATTACAGCATCCTAAAGGATTTTTTTCAGCGACACCCATTTTTTAACAGTCTAATTAGACTGGTTAAGATCGCTGCTCTGACAAAGTTAAGTCCAGCTAGGGTTGGTTGTGCATACAATTGACGCCCTTTCAAGCTAACAATTTTAGTATTCGAGTTGTGCATTAGCCCTCGCCAGGATCATATCCCTTGCATCTGCTACATCGAAGTACTTCATACTGGAGCAATAAAACAACATGGAAAGCCATTCGTGCCCAAATATTGAGCCCAGCAAAAACCAGAATACACAGAATAACAAAGATAACTAGTAAATATAGGAACAGGGATAAGATAAGAGCCAATATCAGCAGTCTACGGCATACTAAGGCCATTAACTTAAATATGTAAACAAAGACACTGAACAAGTTCGAAGCACTAACGCTTCACTGGTTTCGCAACATAGATAAGCTAAAGTACGCCCAAGGAACTTCAGAAAACCAAAACGACTTTATAAAGTTTAATGCTACACTGCATTTATTTAGAGCATATACTATCCATATAGCTACTATAAGATTCTTAAACTATGCCTTCTCTCCAGCAATAAGATCCATGACCACACGTTTGATACTCCCATTGTTCTTCTTCAGCAGCTTCTTGTTCATCTCCTTGTCAAAGAACCCCTGCACCCACAAGTCACATTTTCGACACTAAATGAATTGATTGTTCCAATTTGAGCCATATTAGGACAATCGAAGATACAGCAAACAGCAGAAACAAGATATAAAATTGACTTACCATCTCCTGCAACTCCTCGAGGATAGGATCCCATTCAGAAGCACCACAAAGATCGTCCACTGACTGCTCCAAATCATACTCATTTGCCCTCAATACCTCCTTGTTCAAATCAACCTGCCTGAAACCCATCTCCTCGAGTTCCCTAAGGAGTGTCTGCTCAACATTGTTTTCACCAGCCATTGGAGCAGACGCCTGTGCATCTTTAGCAGGGGATGGTGCAGACAAAGGCACAACTGGTGCTTCAGAAAGATCAATAATGGGATACGAAACAGACGATGAAGGCTGAGGATGAACCGGGCTTGGTATACCACCACCAACCAGTAAAGTATCATTGATTGGGAAATTCAGCTCCTGTTCTTTATTTGGGTTTGCATTAACTATTGGCACCACTAATTCTGTGACCCTGTTATTAGAGTTTACGGGCTCAGGAAGGTTGTCCTCAGCCTTGGGCTCAACATTCACACTTACAATTTCAGGGCCTGTGGCACCGTTGCCCACAGGAGGCAAATTTAGGTTCAAGCCTTGAAAGCTTTCACAGGTGGAATCCTTCAATGAAGCATCAACCTACATGAAAAAGATAAGAATTACTACACGAGAGCATAATTCTTAGCATATGTGAACAACTGTAGCATAGATATGCCGATATCACATGGTGGGTAACCTGGATGAGAACCCAAACACGTTGCCCAAACTTTTGGCCGGATGGTGAGGCCATCCTCCAGTATGAGATGTACCGACCAGGAAATTGGGGAGCAGTAAAATCAACTGCAATGTCAAGCTCCATGTCCACAGGCAAACCATCTGCAGTAATCTGGCATCATATGAAAGCGTTAATCAAATCTCAACAATGAGAGAAGACTTGACCCAATCAATCAAGAAATAGGCGCCCATGCACAGGCATACATGCAACAAACTATATAGAGAATATTAGCATTTAAATATGCACCTCTACCTGAAGAGAAAATGTATTGCTTAATCTATCTCCCCCAATCCAAACGAGTTGTGTTCCCTCAGGCCACATGATAGTGCCATTGTTCCTCATCCGCCAAATCTTGGTAAATGGGGTTGATGGGGACATGATTGTACCATCAAAGACATTCACATCCTGAATGAAGCGACTGTCAAGCTTAGGGCGATTTTGTTTCATTCCACAACCTCGCAATACCTGTGGTATGGTCGGAGGACGCACCCGAGAATGATGCAACTGCACAAAGAATGGAAATCAATATAACAATTAGGACGAAGGTATATAATATTGAACTGAAGGAACAATGCTACCAAAAAAGTGGACTAATTATAAATCAACATACAGGGTGATCATACAACCCCTTGAAAGAAAAGGGATGCCCGTAAGTCATAGGACGGTCCATTCTGATGTAATCGACACCATTTCCCATTTCTGCAAAGCAGATGCTGCACAGATCGTAATCCTCCTTTCTGTAGAAACAAAATGAGACAATTTAAATATACCCTGAAAATATATTATACAGCTAAACAACAGAAATTCCATAGATTCCTACACTTTGGACTTGAACCGAGGTCCGGTTATTGGATGAACCCCACAACCATCACAACGAACACCTCTGTGAAAAATGATGCCCATGCCATCACTATGGTTATACCTCCTTTTAAACGAGACCATACGAGGATCAGATTGAGAGGGAGGCAGAAACAAGTCACTTGCTAAAGGCATCCCTGAAAAAGGGCACTCATTCATAGGATTCTGACCAGCACGTGATGTAGAAGAGTTCCCAAAATCACTACCACATTTGATGTTCACACCGCCACGCAAATCTTTGTTCAGGGAATCTCTGCTTGAATGCTTCGGAAAATCATGATAGGAACCAGCAAACTTTTGTCCAAGACGACCTTCATTAGACTTATTAATCTCATTATTTTTGTCACCAGCAGGAGCTTTAGTAGCACCCGGCATACCATTCTCAAAGGCAAGAGCATCAGACTTCCCATTTGAATGAAATTCAGCTAGCTTTTTGACCTTCAACTTGTTGTTTCCAGAAGGAACATAAAGGACCTCCTCCATGTTGTTACCAGCAGCAACAGGAAATGTGTCAGGTGCAGGATTTGAAGATGCACTTCCAAACAGATAATTATCCCCAGGGAGGCCACCATTAAGATTCAAGTAACCAGTGGATGGTGTAGGGTCCACACTAGGGGTCTGCATAACTGCTGCCTCCACACCTCTGGCTGTGTTTTCAACTTCCACCTTATTGTTTTCCACAGTTGGCTGTTGAGATTTAGTATTGGGCAACACCTGATTATTTGCCAAAGTTGGCGCCTCGGCTTTAGCACTTGGCAACACCTCTGATGTGACCCCATCAACCTTTGAAGCAACAGGACCTTTCGAAGCCTGAATCTGTGTGCTAGATTCAGCACCAGTCTGAAACTCAGAAACAGGATTCAGGTAGGACAATCCCATCTTTGATAAACTGTCAACAAGCTCAGCAATGCCTGGTGCAGTGGATGTAGCTTTAGATGCCAAGTTAATTGACATATTTGAGATTGCTTCGCGGAAAGGCTCCGGCACAGATCTCAAGATTTCAGAAACACCTGTGTTCAAGTTTTGTATAGGATGCAGGACTCGAGGTGATCTCATGGGCGTAGAACTTCCACTTGATCTAGCATAAGATCTACCACTCGTTTCAGTGTTCAACTTCACAGTTATCCTCAAGGGATTCAGGGACTGCCTCATCACATCGCACAGATCTTCTTCATCAGCAAGGGTTACCATATCACCATCTTCATCAATATATGTAAGTGTTAGATCACTATCAGGAGTAAAATTGAAGAAACCAAGGACCTTCTCTCTCAATCTATCCATGTCCAAATCAAGTTCTCCATCAACAATGCGGGCATTGAAGCGCCTAAGTGTTTCTCCATACTTCACCTGTAGCAACATACAAAAATGAGTGTTATAAGCACAATAGTGGGCAAGGTACATACAGCACCAAAATAAGCTCACTAATAAAAAGTTACAGATAGCAAAATCACTTTTTGTAAGACAAATTTATAGATCCGACTCAAATACGCAGGCACAGTAAAGCAACCTCATGCCAGTGTAAAGTGAACAAGCTAGCTTTCTTCTTTTTTTTTTGGATGAGTGCTTTGTTTTCAATTGTTTTTCTTTCCTTCCCATTCCCTGACTCTGACAAAAAGAAAGAGAGAGGTGCATAAGGAAAGGAGGCCTCAATTGTTCTAGCTGCAATCCAGTCAATTTTCTGACCAACCCTTGCTGGAACTTTATAGTTGGGCAACAACACCCAAGAAAATGTTTTTGATATTATCAGAACTACAGCCAAATATAGAAGAAAAAGTGTCAGAAGATTGATATCAGGTATTTGGCATGCCCAGCTTAGGCAAATCCATTATTATAACCCCAGGTTCCCTCTTCCCCTTATGCTAATTATACTATTACCAATCACAATTATGTCCAGATTTTATAACAACGCAATAATTTTTTAAGCCATATCAGCTTCTCATGAAATTCATTTCAGTCCCAAAATAAGCACACTCCAGCATTCAAATACTAAAAAATCTAATAAAATCATACTGTACAGAAAAAAAAAGTACTAACTGCTACATTACCGAATCAGCCATCCAATTAGATGTTTCAAACTTGCTATGATTCTCTAAATTTGCATGTACACTGACGATATACACAGTAATGGACAGCTATCACAATAAGCTCAGTTCAGTATAGACTTTCAATCTCACACATCAAATAGCAGAAACCAGAATACCACTATTACTAGTAACTAGTAGGCTGTCAAAATTCAACACGATACGATTAACCGACACGAATTAAACAGGTTTGGATGAGACCTTAACGGGTTTGGGTGGTAAACGGATTGATACGCCAGACACGTTTAATAAACGAGTCGTGTTCGGGTTAGACCTGTCAACCCGTTTACCCGATTAAATAAATTTAATATAATAATAAATGAGTAAACAAAAAAAAGTAAAGAAAACATTCAAAAAAAAAAGTAAGGACAACAGTACTCGGTAGGAAAATGAAATAAGGCATTGAATTACTTTTTAACCCTTTTTTAATCTCACATCGAGACAAAGAGGGAAGGGGGAGACTTCAGTTGCCTATAAAAAAGGCAGTGGCTTATCATTTTTGCTAGCCTGTGTGGTGTGATTTCACAGGAGCTGGTGGTTGGAAACTTCTTTAAATGAGAAAAGTACAATTGGAAGCAAAGAAATAGAGTATAAAAATTTGTTAAAATAAAATTTTTTTGTTATTTTTTTTAAACGGGTTAAACGAGTTGTGTCGTGTTATCCGTTTATTAAACGATTTGTGTTCGTGATTTTATCCGTTTATTAAACGGTTTGTGTTCGTGATTTTATCCGTTTATTAAACGTGTCGTGTATAGATTTATATGTTTTTCACCCGTCACCCATTTAACCCGACACGTAGACACCTCTAGTAATTAGTAAATTTACTTCTACACAGTTCTCTAAGCAAGAAAACAGCAACCCTAGGAAAAAAAAACGATGATTTCTGCATAATAAATAAAACATAATTACATATATCCAGATGACACAAAGATCAATTAAAGCAACAAAAATAGAATAATAGATGAACCGAGCCTCAAATCACTATCGCAAATGTACACACAGTCCTCGAAATGTAATCATCCAAAAACTTAAAATCACAAAGAAATACAATCTAAATAAATGGCCTCAAACATGCAACAATAATCTAAAATGGCAATTGGCATGTACAATATACTTATACACCATAACAGAGAGATACCCAAATAACCAAATTAAAGCTGTACATAAATACACCTTCCTTAGAAAAACCCTAAACCACTTTTTATCTACAGAGAGAAGTGAGGAATATCACAGTTTAGAACTTAACATGTCGTAAATAGCTCAATTCAGTGTAAAATTTCGATTCCCTGTAGCCAACAACACAAACCATTTGAGTCCAAACCTCCAGAAATTTTTCTCAGCAATCAAATAGAGCACCGCCAGAAGCCCAAAACGCAACCAAATATACAAAGAAAATCAATCAACCAATCACCCAAAGCATAAATACATGTGTGTGCAAAGTAGCATAAAACCGAACCTTGATCACTTTAGTAGACTCCATTTAGCTTAGAAACCTTTCAGATACCAGTCGAAAAGCGTTCCAGGTAAGCCGCCAAGAAAAAGAAACCCTAACCCTAAAATTTGATGGGAAAATCAGAGGAATTGTTCAAAGGTAAGAGCGATATTAACGGTGAGAATCAGAAAAGGAAGAACATGCACAAACTCCACGCGTAGCCGTGAGCCGCGTATCTCTCTCTCTCTCTATCTAAACAAGCCTCTGATACCTGGCAGTTTTTGTGTCTTTGTAGGGCTTTGGGTATGTATATATAGTAAGGAGGTGTTTGGGTCTACGGAGTTGTCTTCTCCCCAAAGAAAACAAGAAAACTACGCCACGAAGAAAACGTAATGGGATGACAATGACACGTATACTGTTGGTTTCGTGGGGAAGGGGCTTGAGTTGGGTTAATAATCCAGTCCTTTAAGGGGGTGTTTGTTGATGGATTTAAATGGGTTTAAAAATGTGAGTTTCAGAAAAATAGGGGTTGTTTGGTTTTGTATTTTTAATTGGTGTTTTGTGTTTTTATTTTTATTTTTTTTAAATAAAATTAAAAATGTGTTTGAGTTTGTATTCCTATTTTATATAAAATAAGTTGTTTTAGAAATAAGGCCTAAGGAACAAAAAAAAGATACTCCAAAACAAGTAAAATCGAAACACGTGCACAAGGAGATGGGAGAGTTAATGAGATCTAAATTTCGAGTCTTATTATCATAAAAACACATCTTTTTCGTTAGAGTATAAAAACTCATCTCAAATGAACGTCATCTCCATCGATACTCTCTCTCCATCTCCATCTTCGTCTCCATCGTTGCTCTCTCTTTATCGTTGTCTTAAATTGTTATCTCTATCCCCATCGTTCTCTCTCAGTCTTCTTAGCAGAAATCGAATCTCCAGAAACCCTCCATCATTGCTTCCATAGCCATCGTAATTTTCTGTGTGTATGTGTCATTTTTGTGCGTGTAATTTTTTGTGTGTGCGTTAGAGAGAGAGATATTTTCTAGGTTTGTGTGTGTCTCTAATTTGTGTGTGTGTGTGTGTATATGTGTGTGAGTGAGTTATCTTGACACTCTAAAGCCCCCCAAACATATTTTTGTTTTTAATCTTTAATGCAAAACAAAATAAAAATTGTCTTTATTTTTTTTTCTTTTGAAACACGAAAAAAAAAATGTGAACCAAATGACTCCTTAATTTTATATTTTGTTAAGACTTTTAAACTTGGAATTTTCGGCCTATAACCAGAGTATTAAACCAATATACATGTAGTTGGGCAAACCATGGGAGCAGGTTTTATATGCTAGCCTAGGTTAATAACGTCAAATAATCATTTTATCTCTCATAAAATAGCATATCTATCAAATAACAGTTCAACCCTTTAATTACTCCTCTTTGTAATTAAACAAATATGGTATGGATTGGATTGACCAATAAGCAATATAGTCATTTACAAAATAAATGTGTAGTAATAATTGTAGTAAAAATTGTGGGTCCCACATTTATTTGTATTGCTTACGGAAGTTAAGATTAGATTGGTTTATGATTGAATGTCACTAGAAATCTCTTGGGTTGGGTTTTAAGGGGTTTTTGAAACCAATCCACCCCATCTCCTCAATATGGATCATCCAAATTACAAATCTAGATTTCTTGAGTTCACAATTTGGTAACTCATTTGGAGCAAGTGATGAGAAAATTATTCCTAATGAACTTTCGAATTTTAGTATGGATAATTTGCTTTTTAACGAAACAATGATGAAATTAATTGAATTGCACGTAAGTTAGTTTAAACATCCCTAACCAAAATACAAACAAAAAAATAAAAAAGACCAATTCATTGATCTGGCCATCATTAGTATTATTTGAACAAATTATTATTTATACCTTTAAAGTGTACACTTTATTCTTATTTGATCATTGAAATTTCAATTGCAACAATCATCCCCTTAAAAACTTTATTTAGTCTTTACTGGGGGTAATTCGTGCCTAAAAGGTATGGTATAACGTAAGTGATAAGTAATAAATTTGGGAGGAGAAAATTTAATGTGAATGATTTTAAGATAGACGCTGGCGAACAGAAAGATTAGGCTTTCCCTTCTTGCCAAGAACGAACTAACAAGATTAGCTACCCAGCTAACCTTCATAATTAAATATCGTTATTATCATTGGATGAATTTATTTGAAACGGTCAGATAAATTTATTAAAATATGTCATATTTTATATTATAGATGTTAAAAATTAATTAATTTATTAAGACAAAATAGTCTTTTGTAACTAATATGTGACTTTGAGTAAGGTGGGGTTATTCTCACCTTTTAAATTCTTTTTCCACCCTATTTAATCTTCTTATTTCAAATAATAGTAAGACTATACTGACCAAAATTAGAGACTAAATAAAGAACTCTAATAGATATGACAGTTGCTGATATGACAAGATTAATTGTCATGTAATTTCTTTTCTCTATTTTTTTTGTTTGTGCGTGTTAGGGAAGCGGAGAAGACGAAAAAGATTTTTTTGACATGACAGTTAATCTTGTCATATCAACAACTACCATGTCATTTAGACCCTTTGTTTGGTCCCTAATTTTGGTCAGTATAACATTACTATTCAAACTATTAACCCCATATGTCCACTACATTAATTACTAAGTTAATCTTATTTATATTCATTCAATTAAACAATTAAATATATGTCAAAGAAACCAAAACAAAAATAATAATTAAAGAAAAATTTCAATGTTCCAAGGTGATCTATATTTATTTTGAGGTATATTGAGATATGTTTACCAATGTCTTTGGAATATTTTGAAGTGTTTTAAAATATTTTGGTATATTTTAATTAATATTTTAAAAATAGTTATTAATTTTTATTTTACTTCTCAAAATTTTTCATACCGAAATAATATATCAAAATAAAATTTTGATCATTACCTATATAATAGGTTGAAATAAAATTAAATGAATTTGATTTTTAATTCGTGAATGTAGATTAAATGAATTTAGTAACTGATAGAGTGGGTATAAATATGATAAATTTAATAAATTAACATAAGATAATAAAATAGGGTGGGAATCTGCCCGCGCCTTCGAGTAAAGGGACCAATCACCCGGACTCTTGACCCGAATTCTAGGCTAGCTCAACTCATATGGGCCGTAACCCATGCGTCGGACTCAAAGCAACAACGGTCATCAGGTCATGGGCCAACCAACCAATAGGGTGGGTCAATGGCCTATTCTTTTGGCTCGTCATGACTGGGCCGACCTGACAGTCGAAAGCCCATTTGAACCGATCTAATGGGTAAGTTAAATTAATTATATCATATGAGAAGCGTTCGTGTGTCAGGTTTTTACAGGTTCGAATTAAAAAGCGTTTTATTTGTACCAATTTGCTTATTAATTCATATTTAAAGAATGGTGTCATATCAAGATCGTATTGTACATGAATTATAATATAATTAATATATAAATGAATCATATTATATATTTTTTTTATTAATTTTATTTATATTTAATTTATTTATTAATCATTTCATATAAGGTGATTTCAAAAAAATTTATAATCCTCAACTTTTGTATTATATTGTATTAATAAATTGCATCATATTTTGAAACTTTTCAATAAAATAGGCCTAGTTTGACCCTCAATCAATCAAAGAGTAGACAAGTTCATGCATGCAACCTAATAGTTGCCTCGGCGAAAGAGACAATAAGGGGAAAAAACAAAGGGCGTGCATTAAATAGTAATTAATACACCTACTCGGACAGATTCATCTCCTATTGTCTTGTTGGGAGAAATAAATGGCAACTGTTGACAACCTTATCTCTATTTTTTTTTTAAATTTTTTGTCTATTAGTCAGGTATATTCGGGAGTGAAATTATGCGCACTTCAATTAATATTTTGTTTGATGATTAAAATTAGGTTATTCATGAAAAAATAAACACAACAAAATTTGATAAATCTGATGAATGAGAAGCTAGTTTTTGAGAATTAAAAATTCTCTTTGATATGAAAGTATTAGAGTTGAAATTTCTTCTCATTGAATTTTCTCTTGGGTGTTTTTTTGATGTGTTCTCTCTGTATACAGAGAATCTTATTTATAAGGGAGGATTCAACTAGTCGTTACCAATCAACATAATACCCTCAATTTCTCAATATTTTCTCTGTAGGCTACTTGTACTCTAAATAGGATTGACTAGCCTTTCACTACTTGATGGGTTCCTCTAACCAAGACACATATACTGACTAGAAAAGATCTAACTCAAACATTCAATTATATCAATGCAATATATGTATGCATTCATCATTATAAAATAATATTTAACACATAATAATTTCACAAAAAATACATCAATGATATATGTCATGAATAATGTAATATTTAACCAACAGATTTAAGTTTTATATATTTTAGATTTAACCACCGACCGTGGCTTAATTAATATCAATAAATTTTAGCCACATATCCCAATAATCCACACCTAAATTAAAATAATGTAAACAAATTTGATGATCACTAGCTGCGAAGAGTAGAAAGAAAAAGGGGCCAAAAAAACGAAAGAAAAGAAAAAAAAGTATAAATCATATTTCAAAAAGTGATCTGATTTACAAGACTCTTATCGTACAATGTATGAATACAAGTTTAAGTGCTCGAGATAATATTCAGATTACAACGGAACAATTTTACAAGACTTACCAATCTAGTAAAGGCCATTTGTTACTCGGCTAGCTCTGTTTCACCAAGAAATGGCCATTACGCCTACAGTTGCAGCACAAGCCACAGCAACAAGGCCTCTATCTTTGAGCACAACCTTGGCCAGGTACATAGCAACATCAAAGGTGATCTTCCTTCCCTCAACAGCAAGAACACGGCGACGCTTTCCGACGAAAGCCAGCAATACCAACACTGTGATCCATGTGACTATGGTGGTCCTGACAGCAACAATTATCAATGCTGCAACGACGAAAGCCCCAGCAAGTCGAAGAATTGGTGCACAAAAGACTAACCAGCTGGTAGTCCAGCTACTATAGGATCGGAGGATGTAGAAGGAAAGTAAGAAAGAGAGTAAACATATTGTTTGGGACCTAGAGTAGCTCATTAATGAAAGGATATATGCACGCGCGCGCACACATAACACATACAGAGATAGAGAGATAGAGAGAGAGAGGAAGAAGAAGAAGATGGTTTTGGGTTGAGGGTGTTTTTTTGGGGGTATTGTTATGGTTGCTTGAATGCTTCAAGGGTTTTGGAATTGGAAGCCATGTGCTGCACATGGGGAGGTTGGCTACAGGGAGGACCAACCTTTACTTTTTTAGTAATCTTTTGAAGGGAATTCTCATGTAGGTTAAGGCATCCCCTTGGCATACTTTGTTGTGGACTGCATATAATAATTCTTTTCGATAACCACTTATATATGTCTAACACACCCCTCTAACAGTTTAAGTTTTTAGATGGGTCGATGATTTAACTCGGATTTCAAATCTACAGTTTTAATTTTAAATCACAACAGCATATTATAACTTCTAGAAAAAATAAAAAGCAATCACGTGGATAATCCACTCGAGGGAAAACATGTGAAGGGGGTTTTAGATGCGTACTAATTTTACACCTTTTTCTAACAGTTGAAGCTCTTAGCTAAGATGGTGTGATGGTGACCAAGTCTACAATGCATAATAAAGTGACATTCATGTCATCTTATCTGCTTTCAATGCAGAGTTCAGTCTTCTCAGTAGCTCCCCAACCTTGGAACCCATCTGCATTTCCATCTAGATTTCATTCTATTTGAGAAAGACTCTCTGTTAGGACTCGCCCTGGATCTAAGCGGATTGAAGTAAACAGCGTTATGTTGCCATGTCTGTCGGAATACTAGAAGCATACACCCAATTTCTGGCCTTCGTTGCCTGAAAGAAAAAAAAGAACAGGAAACCAGAAATTACTTTTATGTTTAATTTAAGTGTAGGTGATTAAATTCAAGTGAGAGTCATCATTTACTTCCTGTTCCCAGTTCGTGGGCATGGTTATCGCTAAAAGAAGTAGCGCTTGCAGACTACTTCCACATATGATTCCCATCCAAAGGCCCTGCAAATGATATTAATAACCAAAGAACAGGTAAAAAAGAGCAGCTGAGTGCACAAGACTCCCAAGAACAAACTATAGATGTTGTTAAAATAGGTGAACTACCTTTCCTCCAAAGTGGAAGACAAAGGTTAAGATGATTGCAACTGGAAGTCCCACAAGGTAATAGGCTCCTAGATTCACCAAAGCACCAATCTTCTGCCAACCACTTCCTCTTGCAGTACCTTTTGCATACATAAGCACTTATGATGTTTAGGTTTCTAGTATTATTCGGGTAGAGGGATGGATACTGAGCAGTGAGTGAAGAATTTTGGCTCGTGACTTTGAATCCAGAATGGCAACAAATATTGGATATTATAAGCTTTAACCTGAGAGTACACCCTGAATTCCATCTATGAAGTTGGATAAGGCAAGCACTGGCATTATGGCAGACATATATCTCACGACTTCCTCTTCGTTTGTGTACAAGTAGCCCCATATCCCTCGCACTGCAACTGAAATTAAGCTTACAAACAGACCCTCTGTCAAAGCCAGGAATATAACAACCTGAACTGCAAGTTCTGCTGCATGGGCCTTCCCTGCACCTAATTCATTCGAAACTCTCGTGCTTTGACACAAGAGCGAGAGAGAGAGGATGATTGTCGGGATATATTGAGAGAGTATTGGAAGTGAGGGGTAATGTGATCCTATTTCACCAAGCATACCTTACTGCACTGCCAAAACCAAAGGGGATTCTGAAGATCACGGCACTTGTGGTGAGGCTGGTCATGGGAAAGATGAATGAAGTTAGATATAGAAAGTGTTGTACTGATACCACGTGAATTAAATTGCCCAATTTATTTACGTACTTGATTTCACAAGGCATTTTGTGATTCGGAAAAACATTGCTTCTAGATAGAGGAAGTTTTAAATTTTTTGGCAGGGATTAGTTGTGATATTATATCCAATGAATTCTTATATGCATGACAAAACCTGTATTTTTTGGAAGAACTTTCCACAAATGCAAGGGAAGACAAAGCATTTTGAAAAAGGATACCAGTAAAAAGAAAGATTTTCTTGCATACTTAATGAAATTGTGATAGAAAATCATTTCCAGAGGAAGAAGTGATAATAGAAATCCAGCTCATGTAATCCCAGTTGGTTTGAATTTGGCTTCTGTTAATCATATTCTGATGTGGTACTGACATGAGAACATAGCTTTACTAGGAGCTTGAATTTGATTCTGCCAAGAACATTTTATCTCAAATACCCTGAGGACAGATAGAGACGCAAACCTGATTGACATCATCGATGTCTCCAGCTGTGGATTAGGCAGAAAACCGGACATGAGAACCAAAAGTTCGTATGACCACCACTCCAAGCTTATTCATCTCAAATTGCAATAACATTAGTCTTTTGAGGAATAAGATAATGGGAGGAGATATGAAAAATTAAGAATTCGATGAAATTTTGCTGTTTGTTCTGAATAACTTGACACATGATAGGATTGGAAGACAGTTAAGCTCTATATCTATACATTCAAAGCAGTTGCATAGGGAAACTTAAACTCACCAGACCATGAGAGCTGAAGGAATAGCTAATGATAGAAAGCTTATGAGATTTTTTACACCTTCACTTGAGAATCCTGTCCATGTTTTTTCACACGTAGGCGAAATTTTGATATAAATTGCTAAAATCAACACATTACTCCAGTAAGAGATGGCGCTGGATAGAGCAGCTCCTTTATAACCAAAGCCAAATCTAAATACCATTATCCAGCATGCAAGAATATGAGCTAAGCTTGAAATTCCGGTGCTTATCATCAATGACTTAACATTATTTTGAGTTTGTAAGAATCTGAGTTGGCACTGGAGGAGGCCGTAGGGAAAAATACTAGGGATCAACCAACGAGCGTATGTCCCAGCATGCTTCGAAATTTCCAAGTCCTGTCCACAGCTAGTGAATATCTGCTCCGTGTATGCCCAGATGAATGCTATAGGAATGCTCATAAGCATAAGAACAAGCGTAGCTCTCTGCATGTGTATACCAAGCATATGATACTGTTTTGCTCCATAGGCTTGTCCACATAAGGTCTCTAGTGCACTCCCCATTCCCATCTAATCACAGTAAAGTCCAGAGATATTAAAACTTCCAGAAATGTAAATTTATGCTTGCGTGCGAATACACCTACAATGAACATATATGGACTTTTCGTGTACTAATATGCATATGTAGATCTATTAAGAATTGATTAAACAACCATATAAAATAAGTGATGTGCTGATATGATCTTTCTGTACCTGAAGTTTTGGAACTTTTTATGGTTAGTTCAGAAGTGAATTTGCAAGGATATACAAATTCTGCAGGATGGCCTATGAGTTCCTAACAAAGAAAGATATTGCAGTTTCAATTTTATAGGACTCTGACTACATATATGTGGTTCATATTCATATCTTTGATTTTGGACAGTACATCCATCAAGAATCTACATTTTAAGTTATATCAATGCAGAGATTTATGTTCCGGGAAGAAGATAATTAACCTCAAAACCAAGGATCTAAGTTAGCAATAGCATTGAGTATCTCAACTATCTTCTTTTAGTCTTTTATTTTTTACTCAGCATAATTCAATTGCATAATCTAACTTCAGACTTACAGAGACATAAAAAAGTGCAAAAGAGGACAATATCTGAAGCGTGCCCTGTAGTTCCTCAGCTCTAAGAAAAGCCTACGCTTGTAGTTTTTTAGCAGGCACAGGCGAGAAAGCTTACTCAAGCAGTAGTAGTAAGGATACTAGAAGCGAGCTTGAACTACCACTAAAATAAGCAAGCGTGAGTGAATTCCTTGCTCACCCGAACCCGATTCCTCTTGCTCCAAGTATATTGGAGAAGTGAAGGGAAGCTAAGAGAAAGCCAAGCAAGCCCAATAAAATAGGTTAGTAAATAGGTGCCCTTAACAGGATTTATCCTCCTATTGTTCAGTCGACCGGTACAATCCCATATGTCATATTTAATAAACTAATAGATTGTATAGCATTAAGATAGTGAGAAAGAATTGCCAACTAAAATAGTAGTCAATGTTTGAATCACAAAAGAATACATCTATAATTAAGGAGACAGAATAGAATAAGTTGTCCAATCATAAAAAAATTTACGTACTTCAGCATGGTAGAAACAAGGTACATGAAGCTGAGAGCTAGAAACAAGGTACATGAAGCTGAGAGCTAATCACATATTTAACTTCAATACCAGTAACCTTAAATGTGAGAAAACTATGAGTCAACATGAGAAACAATAAGGAGGAAATGTCCATCCAACCATTCATGAATAAGCCTTTACCATGAAGCTGAAACCAGTCACTCCAGCAAATGAAGAGGCCATTGATGCACTGGAGAGAGAGAGCTTTCCAAGATGACCGACGAACATAACCGATATCATCTGCAAACTATATTGCAAAACATATACTAGAACTAGAGGCCCTGCCAAACGCAGTTGTCTCTTCAGCTCTGCAGTAGTTTCTGATTTATCAAACCATTTAGTGCTTGCATTTCCGCCGCAACCCAGACCTTTTTCTGAGCTAGAAATCAAAGGAGACCCAAGAAGAGTTTGATCCATATTCTAACAGCTTTTTCTTGAAATGTCAAGAAAAATGAAGGAAAATGGCTCCATATGAAGAAGGATGAGACACAATGAAGAGCTCTGAATGGTTGGTTGGCTTACATAAATGCAGAGGTTGGGATTAGGAATAATTAAACTATATGAGGACAAACACATGCAAAATGGGTGTTTTGTTATTAATCACTTGCATAACTTTTGAGTTTCACTCCCCTATTCTGTTCAAATGGACATCATCCCAATTGTTTTTGAGTCGGTTATAAGAATCACATTCTGTTATTATTGAGATGACATATTAGATACATGTTTGCTAAAAAAAAATGACTTCTCAGTGCATGAAACTTCGGTCATTGTAGGGTTTAGAGATGATTAAATATACCCAATTTTATCTTTGCATGTGGAGATGCCTTTTTTGCAACTCGAAATCCTTGATATTGACTCATCAACTTGTGAAAATACCAACTTTACAATTAAAAACGTGATAACCTAATGTTTCATTTTTTCCAGCTAACAAAAACAATGTACCGACACAAACCAAAAAAGCATGATTATTCCTAATCCTGATTTAGCCACTTTGTCAAGAATTACTAGACGAATTGTCTATTAACTTTAAGAGATCAATCAATGGGATGGGTCAGGATTAGGCTACCTGTATTGTCTTCCAGTCAGATTGCAGACTGACACCGTTCACAGCTGCCCCATAATTCACTTTCTTGATTGACAAAAGGATGTGAAAATGGGTCTGTACCTGTTTGGTTTAAGTTGACCAGTAGAAATTATGTCTCAAAAGCTTGGCAGAGTCGCACACTTTGCACTGTTCTGTTACAAAGATAAAAGCATAGTCCGTCTGTTTCATGCAATAGGTCTGTCAGAAGATTGAATTTTGATTGATCTGAATTTGAACTCAATACTCAGATCCCTTTCTCAATGATCGAAACAAGTCAGAACGTTGATGACGATACAACTAGTCCAAGATAATAAATACAAAATAAACTAATTCCAACATCTGGACTGGACAGATCTAATCTAGCTAAGCTAAGCAATCTTTAGAATTTCTTCTTCCTGTGGCTCAAGCCAACTTTGCTCCTTGACCTGGATTACATTCAATATTATGTACCCATATTCTTATACGTACATCGGCTAATGGTATGCAATTTCCTATTTGAGAATCACGAAACTAAGCAAAAAGAGACGACAATAAGGATACGGTCATTTATCTGATTGCCAAACAAATTGAACACCAGCCTACAATGCCCAAATCCAGAATCAACAAGTCTCACAGTTTTGATAGGAATGAAATAACAATAAAACTCCCACCTTCAGAAAAATCAAACATATTCATCAAGTGCTGCCTGCACCACATGACCGAATCACACAACCTTTTTTAACACTAAAATGAACCTGTGGTTTTGTAATTGGGGGAATGTACAACAAGCTACATTGGATTCCATGACAAAGTTATGAAAAGAAAAACAACATAGAAAGTTCTGATGACTTTTATTTTGTTGCAAAACTTTATGGACATTTCCCACGATTTTGACTAGGCAAAAAAACAAAAAGCAACAAAAATGTAGTCCACTGCCCCTTAAAGACTCGAGTGGATAAACCAGAAGAGCTATTTCTCCCCTCCTTATCGTGCATTCAAAAGGAAGTGGACGCTGAAACAACAAGAGAAATCAGAGCTGCTGATCAAGGTACGGATCTATATTAGATTTACCCGTGGACCCCAAGTATCCTGAAACAGTCCCAGAAACACTTGAAACAACATTAGTCAACCAGGAGGTGCTGCGAGTTAATAAACCGGTCTGTATCTGCTCTTTCACTTCAAGCATGCTCTTCTGCTCCTCCTCAACCAATATATCTAGCCACCTCTTAGCCATAAAAACCTTGACAGCTTCAACCCCTTCCTTCACAATCTCCTTTGGAGGAATCATTAGAGGGTTTTGGTCCAAATTAAGCTTAGTCAAATTGTCAAGCCGGCCAAATGTATCGGGAAGTGCATGGATCTGATTGTTGCTCAGATCAAGTTCTTTGAGGTTAGTTAGATCACCAAGCGTGTCAGGAAGTTCAGTTAGGTCACTGAAATTACTGCTCAGATTAAGGATCTCAAGATTTGTCAATCTCCCTATTGCAAGTGGAAGGCCACGGAGTTCATTGAAGTGCAAGTCTAGAAGGTGCAAGGACGTCATCTCACCAATAGAAGTTGGAAGAGAGCGAATCTTGTTCAGATGGATTGAAAGCCTTCTTAGATTCACTAATTTGTACCCGATGTTTGTTGGCAAGTACGTCAGTTTATTGAAGCTTGTGTCCAACTCCACCAATGACCTGGAAGAAAGAAACTAAACTGAAAAGACTGATAATGAATGCAAGGAAATAGAGTAAATGACATTAGTTTGTTTATCAGGATTACCTGCAATGGCAGATGCTGTCAGGCAAGGCTGTGAGCTTATTTCCAGAGACATCTAGGATCTTCAAATTTTGCAACAATCCTATGGAATCTGGCAATGAATCCAAAAGATTTGACAAAAGATTGAGCTCCTCAAGATTTTCTAGTCCAGCAATTGAATCAGGAACGAACTATTTCCCTCACAAGCAGGTAAGCCAGATGTCAGGAACAGAATATGAAAAGAGTGAAGCCCACAATCATGTAATGTACAGAAACAATCTGTCAAGTCAAATTGTTTCATCAAGAAGTTTATACATTTGGCATAACAATTTATCAGAACAAAAAACAAGCAGCACACTCATTGGAAAGTTGAAGGGGAGGGGGAGGATGAGGAAAAAAGAAGGTCATCATTGCAGTAAAATCATACTTGGAGCCACAAAAAAAACAACGTATGTTAACAGTCTATTACAACTCCCTCGACATACTTCCCTTGACTCAGCAACAACTGCTAGAACACATCATGGTACGAGTACAAAAAATTAAAGTATTCACCATTTCTGACAGATCAGCAACTCAATTCACGTTGATCTCAGCAAATGACACAAGTTGATTGATAGGCAGACATACGCCTCTACCCTTGCTACAGCAAATTTCTTTCCCTTCAGGCATTTAGTCTTTATCTCTGAAGGTCATTTATTGATTTTTTTCATCCTCTTTTGTAATCAATTGATGTAGTAACAAGAGGGCAGAGACTAAGAAAGAGAAGGATAAAGAGACAACTGAAGAAGAAAATAGGGAAGAACAAGAAAGAGGGAGAGAACTGAAGGAGAGAAGAAATATTTCCATAATAACAAAAATAGCAATTATAAAAAATTAAAATTAAAATTAAAATTATGTCCTAAAGTATGACAGAAAAAATTAACCCTAATATAATAACCTGAAATTTAATTTTCAAGAAGAGGTTTTACCAAAACCCCTTGCATTCCCCACCCACCGATACTGACAAAGCGGTAGCATCAGAATCCGAAATTAAGTTACCAGGTTTGGTTTCAGCAAATGCTCGTATAGTACAATCCAGAGTTACTACTTTCCATGTCGACGTCTGATGTGTAATGGAACCATTTGTAAGGGACCTACTTACCACTTAGTGGACCATATGTACCAGCAAAAAAATACTATGATCAATGCAACTGGCTCAATTATAAAGATTGAATATTTAAATTTTTCAGTGATTCTAACATAATATGCGGATTTGCCAGAATGCAGAGTAGCATATCTGACGACCAGCTTAATCTCAACTAACTCGAGCTGAATCAGGTAATAAGAAAGTGAGCATAAACACATGTTGTCATGGTTCAAGATTGCAATATTGACCATCAATTTGGCAGGCACTGAGAGACCTCAATTGTAGCATCGCAGCACATTATTGGTTAATACATAGGAAATGCTAGATAAAAGAAAATGTATAATGTGACGAAAGGTTTACATCATATCACAGAGTAGTATCAGCTAATTCGATGAAGATGACTCAGGATTGACTCAAAAATGACTCGGCCAAGTCATGAGACTCATGGTTTAAACAAATGGGATGGTATCAAAAAGGAAATTCGGATCACTAGTTAAATTTAAAACCTATCAGATTAAAGTGGCACGATTAGATTGATCCACAGTGCCAGCATAATCTCACAAAATATTCATGTTTTCATGGAAACCAAAAGTCAATAATTACAAAAACAAGTACAAGTCCCAAAAAATGAACAACTAGAATTGTTAGTATGAAGACATCAATGATAATACCATTGGAACGACAATTTACTTCCTCTTTTACCCTCTTATTAATGCAGAGAACACCTAAGCGAACACAGTCGAATTAAAATATAGATTTCACAGTTATCTGACCCAAGAACATCTTATCGGAACCCCATCGGTTATCAGATTACTGCCCAGTCATTCAGTACCGTATTGAAAGTTGAAACCATATAAACCATCAACAAAATACAGTTGTGACAGCAATGAAAATCAACAAATCATATAAATTCAAATTCAATGATCTAATATGATATTCAAGATCAGATGGAAAAGGAAATACAATAAGCCTAACCTCAAGGTGATTGTTGGACAAATCTAACACAACCAATCCGCCAAGCCTTCCGAAGGCCTCCGGCAAAAACTTCAATTTTCGTCCCGACAAATCCACCCTCTCAATCCCCTTCCCAGGTGCATCCATCAAAATCCCCACCACTTCCTCATTAATTTCCTCCGCCACCTGCGAATCCCCCTTCGAATTCTCTGCCACAGAATCATCGCCCGTCACAACGGTCGCATAAATCTTCTCCAACTTCTCCTCCGCCTCCTTCAACATCTTCTCATACCCCTCGTGGATTTCATCAAGCGAAACCACCGCCTTATACATTTGCCTCTCCTTCTCCGCCTCCTTACGATACTCCTCCTCCTTCTCCAACAAATGCGCCCTCCACTGAGCCCTATCAACCTCCGCCGGCCTCGGAGACACCACAATCTCTCCCAAATCCTTAGCCAATTTCGCCTCAATTTCAACTATCTTCGCCTTCGCCTTATCAACCGACTCATGATCAGGCCTTTCACCTAGTGTCTC